CGTCTGAATTAAAGAATAATGGGTCTTATCCTAATAACTTGACAACGGCAACAACTAGCGATCTACGATTTTCAGTAATCGAAAGAGGAGAACTTTGGACATCTTTTTGTCTAATACTATATAAAGTATAATTATTTTAAATCCATTATCTTTTGCAAAAAAAAAGAGATTTTTAAAAATGCATAAAAACGATGTTTCATTACAAGAAAATTTGCTAAAAATCAACAAAACTATATAATTTGATCGAATAGATATGCAAATTTGTTTGCCCAGTATTCAAATATGAGAAGATAATCACTTGAATCGTGCATGGAACTATAGATCTGAATTTTTTCTATCTAAAGAATATGTCAAAATCAAAATTACATCGAAATCAAACACCATTTTCATGCACGTTTTTTTTTCAATACTTTGCTGAGATGATCAATTTTAAAGTAAGTTTGTATTATATAGTATCAAAATAAAAAGACCTACAGCGTTCTCTTCTCTCAATTGCTGAAAACCGCAAATTACTAATTAATGCCGTTGCCAAATTATTGACCTTACGTCCATCTCAAAATAATTCTAGCGCAGACATTGATGATAACATGAATTGACAACCATGATACGTTTTTTTTTCGCATGGAAAAAAGTATTTGCACTGATGTGGAATTAAACAGAGAGACATATTCTAAAGACACAATGAAAACCAAGAAAATACTTTAGAAAAAAAGCTTTTCATACTATAATGTTGGGTATATCTTTAAATTACTAACACACCTTCATCCTCATACAGTTGCGCGCCGGTGAATATGTATATATGGTTTGTATATTTCAAAGAAGAATCTGCGTATGGTATCTTAGTAATGTTTTTTGATTCATTTCACTCTAAAATTAACATATATATTGATTACATTGCTGAATTTTTCACAAAGTACTTAAGAATTTTTATATGATCAAAACACTTGTTCACACTGGAATATATCATCTTAGATGTCTATGTTTTTTCTAATTGATCTATGTAAAAAAAAAAAATAATACATTTAAACATTCCCTACATTCACAAACAAAACATTAAGATATCATATATACTTTTCTTTGTCTGTCAAACTCCTTTTCAGAAGAAAATTTCATATTTTCAATTGGAGAAATATTTTTCCAATCAAAAATGGTGTTTATAAGTGACATCTTTTATATTTAATTAAAAAATTTGATTCAAAATTTTAATTTTAATTGATTACAATCAATAAATTATCTTTTAAACAATTTATATATATTCTGAATAGAAAAAAATTTCATTTGTCTTTTTATTAACGTCAACAATGGCAACGTTCAAAAGAAGAAAACAAACAAAAAGTAAGAACAAAAAAATACAAGTTCTAATTACTTCGTTGTTTTTCTTGGCTTGTTTCTAGATCAATTTTAATGCTTTTGGTAGAGCTGATTTGCCATACTCTATCATCATTTCTCAATTGATTCTGTAAATTCTTGTTTTGTTTTATAATAAACATTTCTGTGTGTATTTTTATTATTGATATACTTTTTTTTGTTGTCACAAATTTCATCATTGATAGTACATTATTTTAATCGTCGAATACAAAATCGATCTCGATCGATGTTCGTCGTTTTTCTCTAATGGACATAACTAATAATCTAAGTAATTCCAATGCCATAACATCATCAATAAATCCACCAAAACGTGTTCGACTTGAAACTGACGATTGGATTGATAAAGCACCACGATCACGTCTATTAGAACGTTGGAAAGAACAAGAATCATATATTGATTATTTAGAATCACGTTTACATCAATTACAACAATCTATTGAATCGAATGAACGCTTACGTGAAAAAGAAGCTGAATGTAAAAAATTAAAATCTATGCTTAATTATCGATTTCTAACTAAAACAACACAACAGCAATCATTGGTATGATAGAAAAAACAAAAACATAGAACACATAAGGATAAAACACATAATTACCTTGTTTTTTTCTTCTTCTATTATTTCAAAGGATCAAATGCGTGATATGATGCAAACACCATCATTAAGTCGTCTTAGACAAACATATTTAGATCCTTCAATTAATCTTATATATGGACAAATGCGTGATGAAATTGAACAAAGTCGTAAAGCTCGTGATGAAGCACAAAATGAATTACATTCATGGCAATTTACACCAGATAGGTACGTAGTTCTTTGATAGATAATGCATTTAACTTTGTTTTTTTTTTTTGTTTTTGTTAGTAAAACTGGTAAAATGCTCATGGCTCGATGTAAAAAATTACTTGAAGAAAATGAACAATTAGGAAAAATTGTTTCATCAGATAATGTTGCTAAACTTGAAGGTGAAATAGCTTTACAAAATCAACTTTTATCAAATATGAAAGATACACAAAAAGGTAAATGAAATATTTTTAAAAAACTTAATATAATTTCAATATTTGTTTATTTTTCAATAGATTTTGAAGATATTATGTTCGATATGGATACAAATATGGATGCTATGTCAAGTACATTACTTCATATGCGTCAACAATTAACTGATTCTCATCAACAAATAACTTCATTAAGTGAAGAAAATGCTCGTTTAAAAACTCTTTGTCAATCAACAAATAAATCTCTAAATACACCAAATGGAACTATTCATACAGATTCATCGTCAGTTGTTTCAACAATGACAAGTATAAATACTACTACTACTAATACTAATAATAAATTATCACAGAAACGACCACATTCATCAAATAGGACTACACAAAATGTCGCCACAACAAATAAATTAAAAACAACATCTAATTTATATGATATAGACGAAACAACTTCGCCACCACTAGTACCACCATCATCATCAAATGAGATGATGGATGTAGAATCTAATACATTGACATCAATGAACAGTACTAATAATAACAATAATAATAATAATAATAATAATGAGCATCTGAAAAGGACTAATGCGCTTGAAAATGGAATTAATATTACAAGTTAAAAAAAAAATATAAAAATAAACGGGACTGTCTATTGAGAGAATGTACATATAAATAAGAAAGTGTATAGATTTAGAGTGTGCCTCGAACAAAAGAGGAATATATTAACTTATGTGATAGGGAACTAACAAAAAGAAATCCACTCAACTTTATTTATTATTTCTCTCTTTATGTTTTATCTCGTCAAGTCCCCGGTATTTGTTTGTTTTTTTCTCTGATGATGATGATGTCCTTTTTTTTTCTTCTTCCTTTTTTTTTGTGTTGTAATAGAGATCTATGTATTTAGTCGACTATGTCCTTTCCTTGTCATTGCACATTTTTGATGTCGCTTGTGTGTTGATGATACTCTTTGGTTTTTTTTTTCTGTTGTCATTTATGTGTCTTTCTGTTGATTTTTCTTTTTGACTTGGACAAAGCAAAAAACATTAAAAAAAAAAACTATACGAAAAAAAAAAGACAAGAGATAAATTGTAATTTATGTGTCTTATATCAATGATGATGATGATATGCTTATGATTTAAGATAAATATATATCTATTTTTCATATGGTTCATATTACTAAAAGCAATATAGAAAAATATATGAACTTCAGTATTTGAGTAAAACCATACGGACATTTATAATGTATTTAAACTTCTATTAAATAGTGTACAATAGTAGATAAAGGTCTGCGCTCCAGCTAATCTCAACCATTGTATGCGCTAGAGGTCTGAAAATTTGTGTACATGTACTTTATTAAGAATGTAGGTCATTGACATTGCGATGTCATTATTAGTGTTTAATTATAAAAAGGTTTATGATGAACAGCATCTATTGTTTGCTCTGAGCATTATAACTTAAAAAGAACTGTCTACAAAATTTTGTGCTATTTCTTACTAAAAACATGACTAATTCTTGATATTCATATATATAGCTGAAAACTCATCTAGGGAATTTCTTTCACTCAAAATATAAGTTCATTTGCTTGATTATTAATATTACTGGGTCGTAAAAACGAACAAGACTATCATCTATGTTTCATTTCTCTCTAGTACAAGATTTGCTTCTGAAGCTTGTGGTTAATAATATTTAATTGTAGAGGAAACTTCTTGAAACGTTTGAACTCGTCTCATTTAACTATCACTGAGCTATTGATCTCTGAAGCACAGTGGGTCATTTCTTTCCCCAACATTGATGACAGTAAAATGAGTATAGTCTTTGAAAGGATTGATGAACTTCAATGAAATTAGTAATGTAGATAATTACAACATAGCATTGCATATTGGGAAGCCGGCCAATACAAAATATTCTCTTCTTACAGAGTTACGAGGCTGTCAACAAAAATAGTTGCCATCCATAATAACTCTTTTTTTAACTAAACAATAACGGCATCGAAATGCCTATGATCCAAAGTCTCGATAAAATAAGTGTACACAAATCTTCACAATTCCAGCATATACAGTGACCGAGATTGACTGAGGCGCAAACTTTTGTTCACTACAGTATATACATTTACTGATGATTTATAGAAGTCAGGAGTGTTTCAAATTGTTTTTTTTTCACCCTCTGTTATTTAGAAAGAAACATCTAAATTGACAATTCATATTGTATCGAACCAAATATGATACGAAGTTTATTATCAATATTTCATAGCGAACAACTTTAATCAATTTCTTCTTTCTCTATACTTGCTATAAAATACTGATCTATTTATTACGATTTCGGTAAATCCAGATGACCAAGAACACCAATGTATAGAGTTGCTGATTTACTAAATCATCTATTATTGAAGATAGGAAGAAAAACACTGGTATGACATGATATGCCTCAAATTTTCTTGAAAATTTTTACTCATACTCCCATTCCATATCAATTCAATGCTTCAATATTGTTTTACATAACTATCTAACAGTTTTCAGAAGACTTTAGAATCTTATATTTCACTTCTAATTAGATAAATTTTCATCTAAAACTCTAGTATTCTAATTTATTGAATAAAAGTATTCGTTATATAAAATGAAATAAAATATTTTAAAAAGAATGTTCTTTAAGTTAGTTGACTAGTTCAAATTTGTACGAAATTGATTTCTCTTCATCAGATGCTAATGTAAATGTAGCTTTGATTGTCGAACCTTCTTGTGTATAATTTGAATTACTAGTTTTGATTAATTTTACTGATTGACCATAGACCTGTTGTTGATACTCAACTTTGACTGGACGATTCTTGTAATTTTTCAATGTCAGAACAACATCGTATATTGATTGTGTTCGTGATTGTTTCGGGCCATAAGGTGAACTTGTTGTATTAGTCGTATATGAAGAGACTAATGTTGAATTTTCTTTGTAAACTATATCAGCATCTTGACCAATTGAAAATTCATGTTTATTTTTAGCAGCTACATCTGGTAAGGATGTTTCACCAACAAGACGATCAGATTCACGTATAATACAATTACCACGTGAAAGAAAACGATCAGGTGAGAGACGATATGCACGGTCAGCTTTACCATTTACATTTCCAGCACTATAGAAGTGTTTTGAAATAGAAGCATATCGTTCCACAGTTACTCGTGGACGAAACATTGGTAAAAGATAATTTGTTTTACCATCAATTGAAAATGGTTGATTAATAGAAAATACATATAAACCCGATAATTCTTCTCCTTTTCCGACCGATGGAGGGGGTGGTGGGCCGGCGGCACCTGGAGCCATATCTGCATACGTACTTTCAAACTTAGCATAGCCTCCTGCCATATAATGCGTCTTCTGATACTTTTCTAAGTTAATATCACCACCTAAAAGTTCTGCAGATTCAATATCAATTCTTGATTGTCCATCATTTCGAATATCAGCCATAGCAATGAGAGTTGCAGGTTTCGAATTCTCAAATAAATTCAATTGATAACGTGTTTTCCAGTTAAGATTTGAACGAAGATAACTTAAATAAACTGCATCTGTTGTATCATATGTAAAATTAACATAGTATTTTATNCACCTGGATCGATACTAATTTCAGCATCATCAGGTGTAGCAGCGGCAATGGGATTCAATTATTATCTCAAATATGTTGCACAAAGTTCATGTATGATTAGACTTTTATCTTCTTTTTCATTTCATTATTTCTTAGTTTTGTGTAGTTTATTGGTCAGGCAAGAATATTCAACTACCTCGATCGTCAATAATTCCATTATCTACACCGATTCAAATTGTTGTCAATGATTTTTTTCGTTGGTATGGTAATCCATGTACATTTAGTTATTCAGCTGTATTTTGGAATTTTTCCAGGTAAATTTTATTTCTGTGAATTTTTTAAATAATTTTCTTATGCTTGAAATATGAAGATGGGAAAAAGAGATTGATTGGATGGCTATGAACGGTATCAATTTAGTGTATGCAACAACTGGAATGGAATATATTTTTACTAAAGTTGGTATTTTATTTTTAAAGAAGAAAATTAACGAATGAATGTTTTTTATTTGATTTTACTTTTTAGGTCTTTCTACGAATGGGCTTCACTCAATCAGAATTAGATGATTATTTCACAGGTCCAGCCTTTTTAGCTTGGTAAGAGACAGAGAGATTTATTTTTTTTATAATTTAGTAAAGAATTATTTTTGCATGTCAATAAAAGGCATCGTATGGGTAATCTTCAAAAGCATGCTGGTCCATTGTCACGAAAATGGCATGAATCGCAATTTGAACTTGCTAAAAAAATAATTCAAAGAATGACTGATATTGGAATCATTCCAGTTCTACCTGCTTTTACTGGCTTCATGCCTCGTAGTGCACCTAAGTGAGTTGATGCTGGTAATAGCTTTAATATTCAAGTTTTATTGATCTATAGATATATTTTTTAAAGCTATATCATTAGTCTTAATAGTCATGTAAGATTGTTTTCAAGTTGCGTATACTGATAAGAAAGATTTTATCAATTAATGCTGTATCATAGTTATTGTTGTTTTTTGGTACTTACGTTATTAGAAAAATAATGCATTATGATATTTTTTTCTAGACATTATCCTTCAGCAAAGTTTTATTATTCAGCGGACTGGAATGACTTTGGTTGTAATGAATCTTGGTAAGTTTGAAGTCCTACAATGTATGTCAACGAAAAAAAAAATGTCCATAATTCTATCGTAGTTTGCCATATCTCGATCCAACTGATCCGTTTTTCCAACAAGTTGGTGTTGCACTATTGAATGAAGTACGTTGTTTTATGAATTTTCATTTTTTTTTGAAACATTGAAGAACTGTACAAGTACCAAAAAAACAATTCAATTGTTGAAATAATGACATTGTTAGTCTCAGTTTTTAGGAAATTTGTATATTTGAGTTTTGATTGCATATATGGAATTGATAAAGAAAATTTGTCTACATTACTCCTTCAGACTTACCATTTTGAAATTATAGCAGTTGACGTTGAACAGCACATGATTCACTTTAATTTCGATGTACATTGTAATTTACAGATTGGATATGCTAGAATCCTATATTTCTTTTTTTCATTTTAGACAGTTATTTCTCTCAACGTAACTTCACATTACTATGCTTGTGATCTATTCAATGAGATGACACCACCAGTTAGGTATGTTTGATTTTTGTAAGTTTATTATGTATTTAAATATGTTAATATATAGTGATCTCAATTATTTGGCTGATGTCAATGCTGGTATTTTTCAAACTATGAAAACAGTTGATCCTAAAGCTGTTTGGTAAGTTTTTACTAGTATCAAAATAAAATATTCTTTCATATCTGATTTAGGGTAATGCAAGCTTGGTTATTTCTTGAAGACTTTTGGACACCTGATCGTGTTGAAAGTTACTTGAGCAAAGTTCCTCAAGTACGAAAAGCTTAATTATCTTCTATATATGATTATATAAGTTATATTTTCTCATATAAGGGTAATCTTATTTTATTGGATCTCTTCTCTGAAGCTGCACCACAATATTCACGTTTTCAATCATTCTATGGACATTTTTATATATGGAATATGTTACATGATTTTGGTGGTAATAATTATTTGTTCGGTTCTCTTGTTAATGTTACAAATGTAATTATACATCTGTATATTGTGAAAGATACTGAATATTAATTTTAGGGACCACAAGCTGCTCGTGACTATTCAGGTTCATATATGATTGGTGTTGGTATCACAATGGAAGGTATAAATCAAAACGAAATTATGTATGAATTTGCACTTGAGCAATCATGGCGCGCTCCATTGAACGACAGTGAATTAAGTGAATGGTGACTCTATTCAAATTTAGGTCGTTTTTCAAATGTAAATTTGATTATTTAGGTTAGTCAATTTTGTCTTACGCCGGTATGCAAGTAAAGATGCAATACCTGCCTCTGCACTGTACGCATGGCAAGTATTAGGAAATTCAGTTTATCAGGAAAATCCACATGGTGCTCATTCATTAATGTTACACAGACCAGCACTTGATAAAAGTCAAGCTGTAAGTCATTTTGTATTATTTATATATGTTGTAGAAAAGAATCTATGTCGGTTTGTATATTAGATTCATTTTGATCTCAAATCTCTATTTTTCGCTTGGGAACTATTAGTTGATGCATCAAATGAACTTGATTCGGATTTATTCCGATATGATCTAGTAGATATTACTAAAGAAGTACTACAATATAAATTTGTAATGGATTATACTCAATTGATAGATGCTTTTAATCGAAGTGATCTCTACGGAGTTAGGTCTGTAATTATATAATAATATGTTGTTGTTTATTTCGAATATTTTAACTTTTGTTAAGTACTCAAGCAGCTATTCTTGTTGACATTTTGGCTGATATGGAAATAATATTAGCTTCAGATCGTCGTTTTCTATTAGGTAATTGGATTAGTGATGCATTACAATTTGCAATCAACGAAGAAGAAATTCATTTTTATAATTTTAATGCTAAACTTCAAGTATCCATTTGGGGAACTAATTATACATTAGGACTATTTGATTATGCAAGTAAATTTTGGTCTGGAATGATTCAAGAGTATGTATTAAAACTATTCTATTTACTTGCAAAGATAAAAGTTATTATTTTTATATAGAACTTAAATATTTATATCTATCAATTAGTATTTCATTGTCTGATTTTAGAAAAAATGTTATATAAAGAGTGATCCCTTCCGAACTATATCTATACAAGCTTCGAGTACTTAGAACGATGTTTTAAATGGCATATTATCCGATGACATTATTTCTTTTAATATTAGTGATATTAAAAGAAGAAATGTGCTAATCAGGATACATACACATAGAATAGCCACATACACACCGAACTTTGTAAAAAAGAATTCTGTTCGATTTCAAGATATTAATTATCACGTTTTGTCTGTTTATATCGCTAATATTAAAAGTGATAATTTCATCGGATACTATGTTATTTAAAACATCGTCATAAATATTTAAAGCTTGCATAGATATAGTTGGGTAGAGATCATTCTTTTTTTACCTTGAAATTAATTTTCCATGAGATCTGGAACTTATGGAATACTCTTCATTATGTAAAAAAAGTGTTATTTAAAAAATATTCTTGCATACTTCGTTGATTAAAAGTTTTTAGTTAAAAAAATGTATGTCAATTAATTTCTTTCGAATAACAACTCATTGAACTACTACTTCAATATTATTTTTTTTGATGTAGTTAATATTTTTATTTCTATCTAGTTATTATGCTCCTCGATGGTATGTATTCTTCGATGTGTTACTTAAAAGTCTTGTCGAAGTATGATATACTTCTTTTGATCTTTTTTTAAATAAAATGGTGAATATTCAGGGCCATCCAATTGATAATCGTGTTTTGAACAAACGTTTATTTCTCGAAGCTGAATTGCCATTTTTTATGTTAGATACGAAGTATTATCCAACAACTACACAAGGTAAATTTTCTTTTATAGATTCATTGTAAAGAAATTTTTATTCATTTTTAGGTGATTCAATTATGATTGCTCGTGAATTATTCAAGAAATATCGATTGTCATTGAGCACCATTAAGATGCCACGAAGCTCTTCAAAACAACAACTTCCATTTAAGCATTATTTTAATTAAAACGAAAAAGAACAATAATTTTTTCTAGCTTCATTTAAACTTTAATCTTTCATTCCTGATTATGTATCTGTGTTCTTTTTGTCATTTTCGGTTTCCTACTTATGATTGGATATGATTCAGGTTAAATTCTTATTTTTCTTTTGTGATCGGAATACTACTAGCATTTCTACTTAGGCACATTAAAGTGTTTTGTTTTTAGTAAAATATTTTCAATTTTTCTTTCATTTTACTTTTAATTTTTGCGTATAAACAATTGATGAATAAATTAATTCTTTACTCTTTAAATGATGATGTAATCTAACTTTTGATGTCGCGTCGTTCGATTCATATAGCACTATCTGTTCACACGATCTATAAGACGACATCGAAACGAATATAAAAAAGTTACTTTTTTCATTCTGTAAAATAAAACACAATTTATAATATTGTCATTTGACTCGTTGGAATAGTTCACGACAAATACTCAACTATATACCATCTGTCAATCACTAACGAGGGAGTCACTCGAGATGTCAAAAAGCTTTTCAGTCGAGGATAAGATGGTTAGATAGGACATAGCTAGGAGTGATATAGCCTAAGTTAGTTCGGGCGCAAGTTGCTTCTAGCAGGAGTTATGAATCTTGCAAGTTATTAAGTGAAATTTCTTGTTTTGCTGCTGAATGTTAGGTTTCTTGAAGAAATAACAGCATATTGGACTGAAGTTTTTCTCATATCTATGTCGACTAATGATCTTGATCATTCCAAAGTTCAAGCACAAAAGAATATCGATATGAGGAGAAAGACAATTTTCAAGACTTTTCATGTTTTACTGCTTGATGACAAGCGAATCATCTAAGCAATTTCTTCAGACTATTCTCGAGTTAAAGCAGACTATTTGTTGAAGACATGTAAACTTGTTCTCTTCTTTATTTCATTCATCTGAAAAATATGCTTTTGTAAATGGTGTTAGATTTTATCTTCGTATATGTTTGCGTGAGTATTAAACAGAAAAAATGAAGAGAACGTGATACTAACTATTTTCATTTATCACTTACTGCCATTGTTCTGACATGCCTGTAACAGTGCAAAACAGAGATCCAAACAGGCTCATTATTTGAAGGCCTGGCCTGCGTTTCTAGGCCTGTGTATTTTTTTCATGTCAATAGCATGATAAAAATACCATAGAAAGATGCATTAATCTTCATAAAAAGTCGTATTAGTCACTGAATTCAATCTACATCACTACATTGAAAAGTCTCTAATTGAAACGTCCATGAGAATTGTCAGTTTTCCAATTAAACAAAGATATCATGCTTCTTTATAATTGAGAGCATGTGAAACTAAGGATAGAACAAAGACTGTTCATTTCCAAAGGCACTTCTAGTTAGCCGGAGTATAAAAAAGCATAGTTTTCAGTTCACTTACAAAACGTTTTCTCGAAAGAACGATCGATTTCTAGTCAAAATCGCTCGGCGAAAATTGGCATCATTCTGAATAAGCACGTAACTTCATTAAAGAGACAGTTACAATGCCTACCTGTAAAAACTGCGGACACACTTTCATGTAAAAAGTAATTCATGTAAAAGTTAGAAAAGATCCATTTTAAATGACTAAAATCATTATTCTTTTATCGATTGTCAATTGGTAGCTAATCAATTATAATAAAAACAAATCAAAGTCAATTCATTATCGATTCCTACTTGATTAAAAATGTATGTTGTTACTGAGCCTAGAATCAACTTTTTGCATCACTTCTTTTATAAAGACTAGATCTGCATTCGTCACAGCATCAGAAAATTTAATTTGATATATGCTTATACTTTTGTCACCGCTTAGCAAAAAGTTAAGGAATGCTACACCATGTCTTAGAAAGCTGGTAGTTTCGGAGACCTTGAATATTTTTCGTGTAGCTTTCTCTTCTCATACTTTGTAATAAAACATTATATAGAATGTTTGAAGAGAATTTTACAGTATATATCTTTCCACATGAAGTTAGATGACAATTAATAACATTATATAAATAGTAAAATTTCGCACAAAAAGCTATTTATGTGTTCTGAACCATCCGATTTTTAATTTTCTAAGGCCTTGTATAAGTAAAAGTGAAAGCAATTGTGGCTGTCTGTATCTAAAAGAAAGGCTATCCTTCAGCTGAATCAAAAAACGCGCGATGCAGTAGGGATGTGTAAATAATTTCAACTTCGAACTCTATCCTTTTTCAGAGTTGTTGATGTCTGTGGGTATTGCCAATTTCACAGGTACCCACACATGTTGAAAAGTTTCATTAATGATTAAGAGTTTACGAACTGAACATTGGTGATACTTAGACAAAAGAAAAACAATGCTAATATAGTCAACTTGTGGAAGATATCTGATTTTTGTTCAAAAATATTTTCATTGAATTTCTTATGCCAGATCATAATGTCACTCAAAGGATCGGGATCAACAGAGAAACAAAATTCAATCAGTGGTAAATCTACAACAGAAAAAAAGGATTTAGAATCATTTAATTTAACTAAAATTGAGAAACATGACAAGTAGATAATGATAACTATGAAAATTTGTGCCCATCTTCTATTCAGAATGATAAGGGTATTAATCTCCTATATTAACTCCGCAGTATTTCTTTGATTCATCGCGCTTAAATGTGATTTATTGAAAACTAATGAAGGCTGTATCTATTTGCTAGCAAAATCATGAAATTCTCAGATGAAACTTCGATTTCGAAGAAAAAGTAGACAGGCAGGCGGCCTGCCTGTAACAGGTACAGGGCTCAAAATTGTGGCCTGTGCCTGTAGAGTATCGAAATTACTCAGAGATATGGCTTCGCTTTAGCGTTACATAAATTAATAAAATTGCAATATTTTTCTCTTAGAAATCTTAACAAGTGTTGCTCTTAGCATTAGTCTAATGCTCATGCTAAGTCGACACTCGTACTCGTGAATGAGACAATATCGTTCTACCCATTCCCAGTAAATAAAATAAAATAATACCTATTATTCATTGAGACCATCGAACGCTCTAAATCAAAACGAATATATGCGAATACAATGATACTTATCCTTTCATTGTGATGATCAGATGACATCAATAAAAAACAAAAGAAATTATTTTATTGAATAATACTTATCGTTTATTGAAATGTTGCGATGGCCTACATAAAAGAAAAAAAACGATTTATTCTTATGAATCAGTACTTACTGTTTATTAAGATGATTAGATGATCTAAATAAATAAAAAATCTATTCTATTAAAATAACACTTAACCTTCATTGAGATGACCTAAATAAAAGAACAATATTTATTTTTATTATTTAATATTTACCGCTCATTATGATTATCATACGATCTAAATAAAACAAAATAGTAATTTTTATAAAATAATACTTACTATGAATTGAGGTGTTCAGACAATTTAAATGAGAAAAAAAATTGGATAAAATAATACTCGCGCTTTATTGAGATGATCGAGCGGTCTAAGTAAAAGAAAAGAACATATTCTTATTCAATGACACTTATCCATTCATTATGATGGCCATATGATCTCAATAAAGGAACACAATTAGTTTTACTTGAATAATACTTACCGTTTATTGAGATGTTGTAATAAAGTAAAAAAACAAGAAAAAAAAGAATATTTTTATAAATTTATGCTTACCGTTCATTAAGATATTCGGACGATTTAAATAAACAAAAAAAAACACTTATTTTTGTAAATTAGTACTGGTTGCTGAAATTTGTTCCAGAATCACCGATTAATCGTGATTAATCGCCAAAAGTAACGCGATTTTGATGACATGGGATGTCAGTTCCACATTTCAGCCCCGAAGAGGCTGCGCTAACAAGCCTTTTTTTTATCGAAGAAAGAAATTATATGAGACAACAATTGACAATGTCATTTTGGCTGTTGACTTCCTCCCCCTCCCCCCTGCCCGTCATCACTTGTCACTTTTTTGCTAGCGCTCTCTCCCTCCTTCGTGATGATGCACTATGTGAACGGCTCCTAATAAACAAATTAGCTGGCGCTTATGATTTATTTTCCCGATTGTTGAGCAAAAGCCAAAACAAAAACGAATATAATTTTCTCTTTGTCGTCTACAGAAACATTAAACAATAACTCACGAGAGAAGGTCACCCACTGCTCAAGTGCTTTTGATATGAGACGTTGNAAATTTCGATCAATCCTGATCTAACAGTCAATGACAAAGATGTTTTTCAATTCTCCAATCAATCTCCACCTGGATCGATACTAATTTCAGCATCATCAGGTGTAGCAGCGGCAATGGGATTCAATTATTATCTCAAATATGTTGCACAAAGTTCATGTATGATTAGACTTTTATCTTCTTTTTCATTTCATTATTTCTTAGTTTTGTGTAGTTTATTGGTCCGGCAAGAATATTCAACTACCTCAATTGTCAATAATTCCATTATCTACGCCGATTCAAATTGTTGTCAATGATTTTTTTCGTTGGTATGGTAATCCATGCGCATTTAGTTATTCAGCTGTATTTTAGAATTTTTTCAGGTAAATTTTATTTCTGTGAATTTCCTTAAATTAATTTCTTATGTCTCAAATATGAAGATGAGAAAAAAGAGATTGATTGGATGGCTGTGAACGGTATCAATGTAGTGTGTGCAACAACTGGAATGGAAAATATTTTTACTAAAGTTGGTATTTTATTTTTAAAGAAGAAAATTAACGAATGAATGTTTTTTATTTGATTTTACTTTTTAGGTCTTTCTACGAATGGATTTCACTCAATCGGAATTAGATGATTATTTTACCGGTCTAGTATTTTTAGCTTGTGATCTTCAAAAGCATACTGACTTATTGCCGCAAAGATGGCATGAATCACAATTCGAACTTGCTACACAAATAATTTAACAAGTGACTGATATTCGAAGAATACCAGTTCTACCTGTTTTTACTGGTTTCATGTCTCGTAATGCGCCAGTGCAGATTGAACGAATACACGATTAATATAATACGAATGATTATTTCTGTGAATTGTAAAAAAGGAACTTTTTGAGTTTGCCAACAATGATAAAAGAGAAAATTGCTTTTTTTTAACAGTTCTTTTTTTTGCGGTCATTTTCTTAAGAACTTTTTTCGCAGAAATAAAGAATTTCGCTTTATTAACGTTTTCTCATGACGAAAATTGCATAATTCATTGGATTGGATTGATTTTAGTTGCAGTGAAACTTGTTGACTTCTTTTAATTATGAATTCTTTTGAATACAAGAGATATAAAGTAAAAAAGAAATTTTGGTTTGTTATATCTTGACTTAATTAATTTATGTTTTCCAACAAGTTGTGATTGAACTATTGAATAAAGTAGATTAAATATTATTTATGTGAATGTTGAAAGAAGTTGGATAATTCATCTTGTTTTTGGAATAGAAATTGTTTGTGATATGTGTAGATTTTTGTTAAAAACAAATGTTTCTAAAGAATTTATCATATTCAAATCAAAATTGGAGTTATTAAATAGTTCAATGAATGTATCTGATGATATTATCTCTCGTTTAGTTTATGAGTTTTGTATCTATTTTTCATTTTTACATCGTCCGAAGCTACGCTAGACAAAACAATGCTTCATTATTGAAAAATCAATAAAACTAATCATTGCGATGTAATTGATACCACTAACATAAATACCGAAGAAAAAAATTGCTTTTTATCAGACGATCGTTTTACTCAATACAACTTCATATGATTATGCTTGCAATTTATTCAATATGCTATCACCAGTAACCGTAAGTTCAACATTGTTCATAATAGGAACTATTATTGAAACTTATTAGTGATTATAATTAATGGGTCAGTTTAAATATAAGTGCATACCAGGCAAAATGTACATTTGATCCAGATGCTATTTGGTAGTAAGTGTTATTTAACAACAATGGATATATAATGTTTTCTATAATATAGAGTAATATCAGCTTGGTTATTTTTTTGAGAGATCTTGAACTTCTGATTGTGTTAGAAGTTATCTGAACAGAGTTCCTAAAGTACAAAAGGCATAGCTTTCTTTTTTTTATCATTCTATATAAATATTCTTATCTAAGAGCCATCACATATAACTCAACCTGTACTCAGAAATTCGACCACAATGCTTACTTTTTCAATGATTCTATGACTATCACTACAAATAGATTTTATTATATAAATTTTGTCGAAAAAATTCCTTTGTTTCTGTTCACTCTTTCCGATTGATCGAAAGTGTTCGGCTTCCATATTCAGTTGGTCATCCAATGTCTCGTTCAGTATTATACGTACAGTAGTTATTGAGAAATTTTGTTTATAAAATACAAATGTTGCTGATTCATTAGCATTGAATAGATCATAACTAAACAAAGGATAATGTGGAAATAGTATTTTGTGATTAATGCATGTTTCAGATATAGATTTTTTAATCTTGTCTTCAATAGATCACTTTCAAACTATATTTTCAGATATCAACTTGGCCGCTCTTAGGTAATACATTGAATATACTTAATTCAGATTTATTTCAATATAATTTAGTAGATATAACAAAAGCAATTCACTTCACTATAAGTTCATCCAGGCTTATAATCAGTTAATAGCAGCTTATAAGTAAAAGATTTTCATGATAGTGAATTTATCTCATTCATATACTATTTTATGTAATTGATTTGGTTTTCAAAATAATATGTACAAGTCGACAAAGAAATTTATTTTTATAATTTCAATTCTAAACTTCAAATTTCACTTTGATAAAATATTTATTCATGAGAATTTTGTTAAAAGTGCAAACAAATTTTCGCCAAAAATGTTTCAAGAGTATGTACATAAAATGTTAAAATAAATCTGTCATAATAAAAATTTGTATTTATGGGAAAGAACAAAAGTCAAAATGTCGAGTGTCAGAGTTTCAAGATAACATTTGAAAATGAAGAAATATTTTGAAATTTTCATAGTCACACTTTCTATTTATGTAAACTTGAATAATATCTTATATACTTCACCACATAGTATGCATTGTTTTTGACTGAAAAGTTTTCGAGTAATATGAAGAGAACGTTCCTAGCAGAAATAAATTGAGTAAACTTTGACCTTGGTTTCCCTGCTATCTACTTTCTTTTGACAGGTATACTTTCTTCGATTCAACGTATTTTTTTAGAGGCATTCAGTCGATAAAGGTCTCTTAGCATAATATGCATCTTTTGAGACTGAATTTGCATTTTTTGTATTGAATATAAAACAGGTTTCTACAACCATGCAAAGTCAAAATCCTTTCATTAACTAAAAACATCTTTATCAATTTCTTTTTTTAGATGATTCAATACGAATGATTCTTCATAAATTCCTTAATTTTTAAAATGATATTTATCTAAATAACAAGATTATTTCTCGAATATAATTAAAAACTGCAACGAAATAAAAATAACGGTTCTTTTTTTTTCTTCATTTTGAATGATTCAAAAAAAAAATTTTTTTTCTTCGGTTCATTTTTATTTCTATGAGTAACCGTTGATGAAAGCTTGCGATAAATTAATCCTGTTAAATCGTTGCGCAAACAATCGACATTAGAGTATATGTATATGTCGCACGCTTTGCCTATCCGATGACATTCGTAAAGCAATGATAACTGCGGCGAAATCCGAGATGCCAAATGAGCAAGTAATCCTATCGAATTCTAAAAGGATAGAGAATGAATACTCAAAGCTGTCATATGCTAGTCCATTGACGTTGTTTTTTAATAGGAAGATAAGAGAGAGAAAAAAAAAAGTAAAATGGTGCGATTTATGTGATATAGCAATGCATATGCCATACGCACACTTGAATCAGTCCACTTTACTTTTTCACTACATTTAGTATATTTCTCGTAAAGCATAGACAAGAACGACACAAACGTCGACAAGGTTGTTTTTATTATGCTTCAACCGATATGGTTGCTCTTACAAGCATCATCATCACCACCCTAACAACTGTTCTCTCCTCTCAAGAGCACTGCGTATGAGAGAAAGAACGAAGCCTTATCTCGAAGCAAGAACGAGAGAGAGATCCTTACGTTTCTTATCAAGAATCATGCACATGCACTATAGCACATTTTACTATCAAGTGGAAAGCGAAAGAACGAGGCAATTATAAGTGCATGCAAGCATTACACATACTTTCACATAAAGAAAAAGCAAAAAAAAAAAGGAGTAGAACAACAAGTCGAATTGTCGACTAATGGAAAAATATTCTATTTCTTTTATTCTCGTTCGTTTACATGCCGACATTTTCTATCCAATCATATTTTAATATAAACCATATTACAGTCATAATAACAGATCTTTGAATCGCAAAAAAAAAGAAATGTATGTTTTTCATAAAGAAACCTAAAAATGAAAGTTATCAAAAGTTATATAGCAATTATGTTTCATACACCATCAATATTCTATGCTTACTATCGAGCAGTGGTAACACTGTATACATTTTATATGTGTGCCCATATGTATGATTATGTCGCATGGTTTCGTTTTTTTTTTCATCATTCATGTTCTTCTTTTCTTACTTGACAAACAAAACACACCCAAAATAAGAAATTTGAATATAGATGAGATTATGATATAAATTGAACTTAACAAGAATAGAACACAAATGTCTTGATTGTTCATTCTTTATATGGTATGAGTGACACTTGCCCTCTTTGCAACTAGTAGGTCAACCCGATCAGCAATTAGACTAGCTGTAAAACAGACGGTATATAAGCATTACTTTCTTCTTTTTTTTCTTCTATAAACTCATCGTATCAAGCAGTAACAATGATGGCGGTGAAGACTGCACGAAAAAGAAAATTTCAATCACTATTTCTTTTGCTTTAGGCTGTCTTTCTCTCTCCTTCTATTCCGTTCTGTGCATATGTAGCGGAATGAATGAATCAATGAATGAATGAATTGAATAGGAAAGGAGAGCCCCGTAAGGTTCATGTCAATTTCACTAGAACATTTTCGTTTCGTATACTAGAAAAAAAAACATGGGGAGGAGAAGGAGGAGGTTAGAAAGAGGAACACCACCGGCATCAATTGAGTATCAATCAATTGAAAAAAGCCCCCTGTCTCGTTATTACTTGAGCCTACTACAATATGTCTTCACAAGGTGCGCATACTGGAATCGTACTCAAATAAGAATATGAATGAATGATGCAATAAAGAACAATGATGAGGTAGAGTATAAAGAATCCACTGTACACATTGTAAGACATAGCTGAATAAATTAGAACGAAGACATAGACACACACACACGCGCATACACACACACACACATGCACATAAACACACATTTAATGATTATCATTCATTCTCGTTTCTTCATCATCATCACAGTATTGCTTAGTCGATTTGGTTTTCTATATACGTATATATATTTTTTTTCTTGTTGCTGTCTTTTCATAGATCTAAAGCCGAACCGGCTGTTGATAGTCAATGACATTGTTGTTCGTTATAACTGATGATGAAGACGCTGGAGGAAATTGTGCAAAATAATAAGCAGATGATGAATGCGGATGAATTGAATTAGTCGACGATGATGGTGATGATTCAGTTGTAAAATAATTTGCTGTTGTTGTTGATGTTGGACCATTATCGGAATAGACAATATCTGTTGGTGTTGTACTAGTTGGAAATGGTTGTAAATCAACATAAACAGGTGTATGAGGAATAGAAGAAAATTGTTGTTGTTGTTGTTGTTCAGTTGTATAAAGTTGATGGGCATGATGATGAAGAAGTAGATGATGAGGATGATGTTGTTGAGTTTGAGGAGAACGAGGAACTGATTGACATGTTTCATGTTGTTTTGATGAAGGAGAAATCATAACACCATTGTCTTTAAAAAAGAAGGACACATTATCAAGATAAAATTTGTTATTTTCTTTTTCTTTTTAATTTTTGAAACTTACTATTTTGTTGACGATAAGTATCTTCACTTGTCGATAAAAGTTTCGGTATAGGTGCAGTAAAATGGTTAATAGTTACAGTTGAATGATTAAGAGATATATGTGTAGGAGTTGCTGATGATGTTCTTGTTAATGGCATATGAACTTGGCCATCCATAGTCATTGATTGACGATGTTCATCATCTCTAGCATTGCCACTTTCAATAGATTCATTTTCATCGTCTGATTCATCAGTATTTGATGCTGATGGATCAGTCTTATTCATACTTGTTAATATAATACTCGATGTTGACTGTTGTTGTTGTCCATTATTGGATGTTCGTGATCGAGTTTTAGATGCTTGTTTTGTACATTTAAAACGTTTTTGTCGCCGTAAATAACAACCATTTTCAAACATATTACCGGCATCAGGATGTAATGTCCAATATGAACCTTTACCTGGTCGATCCGGTCCACGTGGAACTTTAACAAAACAATCATTAAATGATAATGAATGACGAATAGAATTTTGCCAACGTTGTTGATTTTGTCGATAATATGGAAATACATTCATAATAAATTGATAAATATCATTTAATGTTACCATGCCTGTTGGTGCATGCTGTATGGCCATTGTAATAAGACTTATATAAGAATAGGGAGGTTTAGATGGTGCATTACCACGACGATTACCCGATGTTGCTGGCATTGTAGTTGGTGGTTGACGTGTTGCAGATGACACTACATCAACATTGGTTGTTTCAATAGTATGATTTAAATCATAAGGTGATTGTGTTAACATATAATTTGATGAGGGCAATGGTTGTGCATTGTCATAATAATGCATTGTTGGTGTTTCTAATTCAACTTTTGTAGTTGCAAGTGATTGAACTGGTACAAGAGTTACATAATTTAATTGTTGTGCTTCAACGACAGCATGTTGTTGTTGTTGTTGTTGTTGAATTCGTAAAAGTTCATTTAATGCTGGTTTATAATCGGTTGTAGTATTATTTGATGATGATGATGATGTTGATTCATCACCAATACTAGTCTGATGATTGTGCATTTTCATTCTTGCTCTTCTCTTCTTCTTCTTCTTCTTCTTCTTCGTTTTTCTTTTGTTTGATTTTTATTTTTTCTTTCTCTGCTCGTTGTACGTGGAAAAAAGAGAACACACTAAGTCAATAAGTATTTGGCTTGATGGGTGGCCGTCGTCTCGACCACTATTTGATCATTATTTAAAAATTAAAGGATGGTTTGATTGTTCGCGTGTAATGTAGACAACGACAATTCGAATACAAACAAATCTTTCGACGTGAACGATGACGGCAACAACAACCAATACGATGAATCCCCGACGAGCAAAGAGAGAAAAACGGAAATGAATCCCTCAAAAAGTCTGCTTTCTATTCTCTCCTTTTTTCTCTCTTTCTCTCTATCGTGTTCTTTTTTTTCTTCTTTCGGGGTTTGCCGTCGTAGCACGATCAAAAGCTCTCTTCTTCTTCTTCTTCTTTTTTTTTCCTTCATAGAAAGACATTTTGCTGCATATATATGCGCCCGCTTTTATTACAATTCAGCCATCCGACCGACGAATCAGTTGTTCTCTCTTCTTGCACACTTTCAACCATTACCGACGAGAAAAAGAAAAAAAAAAAGACAGAGAAAGAAAGAAAGCAAGAATACAGGCAAGAAATTGAGAGTACGTGTTATTTCGTCTAAAAATGTCGTCATTGTGGTGTGCAGTCAAGTTACAATGGTTTGTCAAGAAAAACCTGAGTCAAGCAAAAAAAAAAAACAACAGAGAAAAAAAGAGACGAAGGAAGAAGGGCTTGATTTCTTATCTACGTAAATGACGAGAGAGAAGGTAAAAAAAAGCAAAGGCTAAGACAGTCAGTTTTTTGTAATACGCAAAAAGAAAAAATCTCGTTATATGATTCGTCAAAAAAAATGCATTTTTTTTCTTCATATATGGACTTTCCCGACGAATGAAAAGAAAACATTAAAAAAAAATTCTTATCAGTTGAAGGAGACTATTATGTGCGTAGACATGGTGTTAAGATTGATATTAAGATAAAAATCAAAATGAACATTTTCTTTTTTTTTTCTTTTTTGTGTATGAAAAGATAATCTCTCATCGTTTATTCAAAGCTTGCATTTTAATTTCTATGTTATCAAGCTTTTCAACTTACCTTTTTTTTTTTAAAATGGTTTATGGCAAACATGAAAAATTCAGATTTTTTTCAAATCATCATATACACTAAACTCGTCTCATAGTGTTGAATGTGTGTGCACTACTAACTATGCGAGCAAGTAGTGAGAAAAAAAGAGAGAGATTCTGTGTACATACGCCTCACTACTACTAAAGTTTTGTTTGTTATAAATAGAGCGGCTCGTCGACACACACAATGTGTAAAGAGAAGAAAAAGCTTCACTGAGCGAGCATACATCAGAGAGAGAGAGAGAGAGGGAGAGACAGACGAAAAAGACACAAGCCGAACCAAATAGTAGCACAAATTTTTTGTGGTTGTCATCATTCGTAATGTGCGCGTATGTGTGTCGAGAATAGATGTATTTAAGAGGAAACAAATATTTGCTCAAAGACGAAGTAGAAAAGCAGTTCTTCATTCTAATATAACTATAAGTGAATAAAAGAAAAGGCTTCTGTCATCATCAAATAAAAAGAAAAAGAAAGCGACGAATTAATATATTCAATTCATTGTTATTATCAGAAAAGCGGCTCATTTTCACCACTAAAAAAAAAAGTAAAGAGTCGATAATCAAACTGATATCAATAGATAGTTAGTCAACAACAACAACAACAACAACAACAAAAATAACTATCGATTACATGATACGATAGATATTTTTTCACAAGCGGATGTCACATATAGCATAGACAAAATTCCATTCGTTTTTTTTTTGCCTAACCATATGTCCATATTCATATATAGACTAATCCTTCTCACACGTACATATTCTTCATTGTTTGCCGAACGTGCTTCTATTGGAGCTACCTGTCTGATGAAAATTGATAACCAAGAGAGAAAAGAAAAAAAAAAAGATCAATCAAGATTTTGACAATCATGTCTTTTGTTGCTGAGAATAAGAAATTGCACATATTGATATATATTGACATACACATACACACACTTATATAGAGAAGACAGAAAAAATGAAGAAACAAAAAAACACCGCATAGAATTTGATCATAATATTGTGTTTTTTTTTTTTTTTTTGTTTTTGTTTTGTGTTATGAAGATAGACTAGGTTAACTCGAAAAGAAACAAGATAAAGAATTTAAGATGATGAATTTGTATTATTATAATAATAATTAGTATTTGTTGTATCCAAAAAATTACTTGTTGTTTCATGACCAACCATTGTTGAATAGAATGATTTAAAATCTTGTTGACCATTAATAAGATTATCAATACGAAATGTACCTGGTGGTGCTAGTTGATGTAAAAATGTTGATGATGATTGATCAATTGTATGAAAATATTGTTGATTATGTTCCGGAGTTAAATATTGTAAACCATTATTATTTGGATCATATGCTTGATGATTATAAATAGCTGCTACTCCTGTTGCTACTACTGCTGATGATGATGATGATGATGATGTTGGATTATGATGATATTCCGTTTTAATCAAAGGTATTGATTCAGTTGAATATGTTGTTTGTGTTGGAACTTGTGAATAATGATGATAGTATTGTTGTGGTAATGGTAAAGATAATGATTCAGATACAGTTGCTTGTCTTGGTGATGAACCTGGTGAATCCATTCGTCCTATTGTATTGTCTGATAATGATGGTGATGATGATGAATGAGATTTATTTAAATTTGAATTTATTATTTTATCTTTATTTGTTATTTTGGATTTATTTGGATCTTTTATTTTATCTTTTATTTTAAAACGTTTTTGTCGTCGTAAATAACAACCATTTTCAAACATATTTCCACTATCAGGATGTAATGCCCAAAATGAACCTTTACCTGGTCGATCAGCACTACGTGGTACTTTAACAAAACAATCATTAAATGATAATGAATGACGAATAGAATTTTGCCAACGTTGTTGATTTTGTCGATAATATGCATAACGATCTTGTATATATTGATAAATTTGTGATAATGTACACATACCATCAGGTGAACCATTGATAGCATGTGTAATTAATGAAATATCTTTAAAAAAAATAAATATAAAATTAATAATAGATTTTTTGTTTCTTTTTTTTTGGCTGTGTAAACTTACAAGAATAAGGTGGTTTTGATGCTGCATAACGACGTGCATAAGCAAGACCAGGAGGTGGTACTAATGTTGGATTATTCGGTGATGCTTGTTGTATATTATTATTAACATTGTTATTATTATTATTATGATTAGTTATTTGTTGTATATAAGATCCATTATTTGATGACCAAAGTTCAGCAAGATTGGTATTTCCATCAAGTTCATTTGTTGGTATAAGTGAATAAGACGATGTAATTGGATCCATCGGTTTTTCTTTATGTCATTATTTGAAATAGTTGTTGTTTTTTTTTTTTTTTTTTTTTTTTTTTTTTTCTTTAATATATTTATAGAGTCTCTACTCTTGTCGTGTATGTGTGTATGTGTTGTGCGCAGAACTTAATGTGTCAATGTAATGTTTGTAAGAGACGCAGCAGAAGGAAGAAGAAAAGAAAAAGAAAGAAAAATGTGGGTGACAAAGAAGAAGAGAAGAAAAAAGGGAAATGCACGAGTATAATTGAAGTGGTGAAGAGCCGATTGGCTGACCGTAAATATATATATATATATTTCTCTTTCCTTTTCTCTCTCTATCTTCTTTTTATCATCCCTTTGCCAATTGATCCATTTCCGGATGACCAACACCAACGTATAAAGAACAAGGTCAATTGGTTGAAAACAAAAATCCCAACGAATAAGTTGATCAATAAAAAACTACTATGTCTCGTCATTGTAATCAATAGTCGGATGAACAATTAGAGATAGAAAGTATCAACGGTTAATCCGTCAAGGAGAAAAAAAAACAAAAAGAGACACTATTGATTCTAGTTTAAAACAAGAGAGCGAGTAGAATCCAAAGAACGGATAATGCCGACATCTAATATGTTGTTCTATCCCATCGTTTGAATACCAATCCAATTCTATATTTACTTTTCATTCGTAGTCAAGTTTTCTTTTTTGTTTTTTTCTTTGAAGTTTTTGACTGATTAGATGATGAGAGCGACACATCATCATCATCATTCAATGTTTTCTTTGCGACTTTAAATCATCAGTTTTCTTCTTTTTTTTTTTTGTTATAAATGAAATTTTCAGATGATACAAAAGGTATGTGTGTGTGTATGTGTGACTTGGAATATTTTTGTTATTGTTGATAGAAATGATTTTATTCTTTGAGAAAATGAGTATCGACATCAAAAAGGATATATATTAATCAGACAGAAAATTGACTGAGTATATATATATATGTGTATATGAGCTTTATCGAGAGTAGGTGCAATTGTCTTCCTATGTTCTTCTGTTAACGGCATCTCACATATAGGATAGACAAAAAAAATAAAATACTTCGTTTGATCATCAGAACTCTGTCAATGAACGTTATGAAAACGATAAAAATGACACATGATTAAAAGAAATAATTTTCAAAGAATAAAAAAAAAAAAAACAAAGATAACTGATGGTACCTTTTATTTTGTTTCAACACTCACCAAAAACTAATTTTTTGTTGTATTTTGATTGTACACGATTAATAATAAAATGTATATATACATATATATATATATATATGTAATGTCAGCTTGTCGAACAACAAGAATTGTCGTCTTCTACTTCTGTTCTTATTCTCACTTATGCTTACTTGCTTCTCTTTCTATATTTACTAATTGAAGTTGCAGTAAATAAATATTGAACAAACGTTTTCTCTCTCATTCTCATTTTCTCTCTCTCTCACACACACACATACATATTCTTGTTTCGTGTGTGCACACCGCAATATGTTTTTTGAAAACTATGTACACAGGAATAACATCGTCTCTTTTCTTTTTTATTTCTTTTACTTTATTCTAAAGATTATGAGAAAAAGAGAGAAAGACAGAGACAAAATATAGTGTTTTGTTTTATCGACATAGTAGTAGTTTTAATTCTGTTCTTTTCATTTCGGGTTAAGTAAACATGCAGATGGTATATGTACAGTTTTTCTTTTTTACTGGCACTATGTTCATCATATAAAATAATAAAACTTATGTGTTACAAGTTGGCAAGCATATATATATATATATATGCTTGATATTCATCGATATGTGTATGCTAGGCACTAGTCAGTTGATCACTCTCATGACCTGTTTGTTCAAATATATTTACTTTTCGAGGTGACACTCTTTTTCATTAGAATATACATGCGAAAATGGTCAACATATTAAATATAAAAGGTTAAAACGGAAAAATGCGAAAAAAAAATGAGCAAACATTGATCTCCGTTTTCGTAATGAGAAAACTAAAAGTAGACAAGATTAATTTTTTTTTGCAATTGATTGAAATTCAATAAAAGCATGGGAAACGATTTTCTACACTATAAAGCTAACATACAATTATTGGACATATTCTGAAATCTAGCCAAATATTCTTCAATAAATCCAGTGTCGATAGTTTGATTATTTGTTGACTTCGTTTTCTTTTTTTTTTTTTATTGCCAAGAGATACACTCACTGAATTGAAGATGAACATAAGGCTCCTATTATCGAACACATTGCAAATGATTCTTAAAAATTGAATGAAGACAGCAAATACTCGAATATGATTGATAAAATTTTGAGGAACTAATGTCTATTGAGTGAATTAATCAAAAAAAAACCTATGGAAGAATCATACGATGATTGTCAATATTGGTAATAGACGAACGAAAAATCAATCATACATATGCACACACAAAAAACTCACTTGAACTACTTGCTCTATTATTACCAATAATGATGGTCTTGGTGTGTTTGTCTGCTATGCCGATGTATGCGTGCAAAGAAAAGACTACAATGATGATGATGATGATGATGAAAAGAAGAAGGAGAAGAAGTGTGAGGTGGCCACCATCAACTCGTCTCATCATTGTTTGGTTGACTAAATCAATATTTGCCCATTTTAAATCGCTCTTCTCGTCACTGTCTTCTCATTGTCGTTTTTTTAAAGAATATCTTACGAGCCATTTACTTAATGCAAAAGGATTGTCTTTATATTAGAAATTTATTTTAGCATAGATCAATAGAAAACAAATTAAGTTTCTTTTTTTTTTGTTTTTATTGTAAATTTTTATTTTTGAACAAATTTGTTATCTAGAAAATATTATCTGTAGACATATTAACCAATATATCTATATCATATAGTATAATAGATTTGAATGCAAACTGAAGTGTGTGCTTGTTTCGTATTCGACTTATGTCAATAACCTCAGTGGAAGAATTTGAACGATTTTGCCATAATCAAAAGGAAAAAAAAAGTGATCTTTTAATTTAAAACTACTTAAACATCATTCTCGAACATTTCAACGTTGTTCGTGATATTTTTTAGAGTGAAAGTGAAATGTAAATAGAAATTTCATGACTTTAGTAGAAAAACAATCGAAAGTCTAAAACTAAAGTATGTCAGTATTTTGAACACTTTCGATATGTAAGTTTTAATAGTTTACATTTTGAATAAATGTTATCATGAAGTAGCTTCAAGCATGACAGTATATATATTCAATTTATGAATAATATAGTCGTATATTTTTTATTTATAGTGATAACTATATCAGAAATAGATGGCAGCATACTACGATTTGTATTCTGTTTTCATTCGTTTCACAATGATTCACATGTTTTTATTTTAATTGAAATTTATTTGGGTGAATAATGTATTATGATGAAATAATATATATTTATAATTGATATTTTTTTTTCTTGCAAAGTACTCATATGTTATTGCATAAGAACACCATTATTTTCAAACACTATATATTAGAAGTATTTTCTGAGTGAACGTCTGTAGTAAAAATTTCTTACAAATTTTTTTCTATTTGCAAAAGATTGTCGAGTTCTATGGATTGGTTAAGTAAATATGAAAATGCTACAGAATTATACAATGATGCAAAACTTCGATGGCCAGTTAACAAAGAGAATCCACCTGGTAAATGGATATTAGCATCGTTTGATGACGAATCAATAATAGTCTATCAAGCATATAATTCCAACATAGCAAAATTTGCTTGTGAGAATAATCATTTTACAGGATGTCCTGGTTACAATCAACAACGTATGACATGTATGATACCAGTTTCGATTAGATTTTATAAGAATGTAATACAAAATATTATTTTAGGGATAAAAACAAATTTTCTTTGGATGATGATCAGGATCCCATTGTAAACGAATTAATCCTTGATGATTTTTATTTTTCGAATCTTGTTCATCATCTTGAGGAAGACCTTTATGTGAACTATGTACAGCTTGTGCTAAATAACTATCAAATGCTGAACGTCGAAGCCATATCGCTAAAATATGTTCTTGACTCGATGAC